AGGTAGAAATATTGAGAATAATTTGGGGCATGTGAATCATGCCCCAAAGGAAATAACGCCGGCCGCCACTGGTAGCCATAAACCAAACGTGACGTAGCTAAGAACGCGGGAATGCCCAATGTTCCCTGCCTCTCGAGAAGCAGCAAGAACTTCGGCGAAAATTCTACGGCGTTCGATTACGATATTTAAACGCTAACGACGGGCATATCGAGACAGTCAAGTGGAAGATACAGTGCGATACGCGAAGTGATCAAGTAAGACAATAGACATTTACACAGTCAAGTGGACGTTACAGTGCGGTACGCGAAGCGATCTACTACCTTGAAGGGGACAAAATAGAAAAAAGCAGTTGTCTTCCGAAAATTTCCGGTGTAGGGACGTTGGGAGAAGCGAATGTTTTTAATCTGAATTTGAAATATTCATTTCCTCAATACCAAAGATGAAAGCTAAGAGCATTTCACGAAATGCTCTTAGCTTTCAATTTCAATAAACGATCAGGTATGTTGCTGAACTTACCATCGTTGCTTTTTTCCAAAATGAGAATTCTCGATCCTTTTATAAGTGACAACTCATCCGGTTGTTGAGCCTGATAGTTATATTTCACGATGGCTATGCCGATGGCTTCCGAAGGGTCAGCAGGCATTCGCCTCGCCATATTTGGAGATTCTACTGTACGTGAAGGAGAGTTATTAGATGGAAGGGTTTTCGATCCGGAACCTTTCTTCACCTGGAACGAAACAGTCACATGTTAAACTAGGGTAGGTAAAACTTGAGGATAAACTTAAAAAATCGGACAATAAGATCGTTCAGATCTTGGGTAATAAAAAAGCATATTTTGATTTGATTTGGATTTTGGGCTAGCGGCGTCAACCAACTTCTTTTGGCTTGAATTGGATGATCTGAACACCAACGACATGTGGTTTCAACACAGCTCATGCTACATATTCAAATCTGGCATCAAGAAACTTGCCAGAAATTATAGGCCAATAACTATCACAAACAATTTCGCTAAAGTTTTTGAAAAATGCTTGAAAAAAGACTTGTTCATTGCCTAGACAAGAATAATATCTTAAATGAATGCCAGTTTG